ATAATAATAATTTAAAATATATATATATAAATATGAGCATTTATATTAAGAGCAATATATTTCTCATGCTTGTTGCAATTACACTGTCTTAAATGTTTTCATCCTTGAGAGAACACAGCGTCATTGCCTTTTGGGTTGTGTAATCCATTTAGACTCCTTGGAGAAATACACTGCTCTAGTCCACAGAGGCATGCATATGGCACAAGACAACTTTACACATTCTCTGTGAAAGTCTCTCTAGGTAATTGTCTCTGGTCCTCTCTTCCTGTGTGAAGTTCTGGGTGATGGTCCGAAAACAGATTAATAAATTTATTCTGAGGTGGCAGAAGGGAACACTGCAAACGTCCTCAGTTAAAATACAGACACCACCACTTTAAAAACTTCCCATACTATGGTTAGCATGGGGTACAGTGGCCTGCAGTCAGTCAGGCTTGGCTTGGAATCCTCAAATGTTGATATCCAACTCCTGTGAAAACGAGGGTCCTGTTTTGTGTCTCACAGGATTTCTGTTGGAAGGTGCCTTGTGTAGGTAGAGCAAAAATATGTTATTTTTCCTTCTTCTTTCTTAGTATTTTTTTGCATAGGAAGTTATACTGAGTTTGAAAGTTAAAAATTTTCCTCTAAGAAAATCAATAGATCTTTTTTTTCTTTTTTAAAAGAAATCATTCTACAGTTTTTTAAAAAAAATACAGCCAAAGTAGTAAATTGTGGAACTAAGTTTTTTAGCTGCCATCTTTTAATTATGCCTTGGCAAATCAGCTAACTGTGGGAGGGAGTCAAAGAGCAGTGGCCTGTTCGCTGCTCTCTATTGCCATGGAGACCCGGGAAGAAGATGCACAGAAAGCTCCATGTACCTGGCTGGTGGCCGGGTGAACACAGCGCTGCTGCGCGGGGTGTTTGACACTCGTGGGAGCTGGATCGAAGCCCTCTGTCAGAAGTGCCCAATGGCCGAGCTAGATATGCCTTCTTAGAAAAGCCACTCGTATCTGAGAGACCCAAACCCTGCTCAAAACCACATAATCCTGGGAGCCAGAAGAGCTGTCAGATAACAGCTCAGAAAGACAGAGCTGCGTGGCCTATGGCAAAATTGTCTTTCCTGAATGTATTCTTTCTTTCAAATAGACGGTGTACGCTTTACCAACCATTGCGTTTGCGTTTGTCTGCCACCCGTCTGTCCTGCCAATCTACAGTGAGCTCAAAGAGTAAGACTTGTTCCTTTTTTATATCTTAATCACTTTATTAGCCTCTCCCATTAATAGGCAAGTTTTGTGTGACAGTAAACACGGATTCATCATCAGGCCTCAATATTCACTACCATTCTGCCATTTTTGAGCAAGTTCTGTATTAAGAAAAAGCTGAAATCCTCAGTATTTTTTTTTTTTAAATATAGAAAGTCACCAGCCATGTGGGCTTTTAATTTATTTATTTTGTGGGATGTGTGTGTGTGTGTGTGTGTAAACGTGTGTGTACACACGTGTGTGTGTGCTTAATCACTCTCTTCTCTTGAGACAGGGTCTCAGTGAGCCTGTAGCTAAGCTGGTAACTGACAAGCCCCTGTGATGATCCTGTCACCCCGCTGCAGAGCGCTGGGGTTTAGGAAGGCAACTACACCTGGCTTTTTACATGAGTTGTGGGAGTTTGACCTCTGGTCCTTGTGCTACTGAGCCATCTCCCCAGGAGACAACAGCTCTGGGCTTGTGGGCTTTTAATTTTGTGGGATGTGTGGATGTGTGTGTGTGTGTGTGTGTAAACGTGTGTGTACACACGTGTGTGTGTGCTTAATCACTCTCTTCTCTTGAGACAGGGTCTCAGTGAGCCTGTAGCTAAGCTGGTAACTGACAAGCCCCTGTGATGATCCTGTCACCCCGCTGCAGAGCGCTGGGGTTTAGGAAGGCAACTACACCTGGCTTTTTACATGAGTTGTGGGAGTTTGACCTCTGGTCCTTGTGCTACTGAGCCATCTCCCCAGGACCCCCGTGCGGGCTTCTTAGTTAATTTCCTTTCCAAATATTATACTGTTTAGGTGTTCAGATATCTGTATTGATTTTTGTTTCTTAGGCTTGTTTTGTAACTGAATAATAATCTTCAGATTGGCCTGAAATTGTATTATTTCTCTCTTTATTGAGATGGGGTCTCAGGTAGTCCAGGCTGGTCTCTGTCTCACCATGCAGCCTAGGATGACCTTGAACTCCTGATCCTCCTGCCTTCACCTCCCAAGGGCTAAGATTACTGGTGTACAGACATACTTAAATTCTTTAAATAGAATCCTGGAAGGAGAAATGAGGTTTATGTATACAGCTGTTGGCACCTTGCACTCAACCCATGTATATGTGTTGTCTCTTACTTAACTTGTAGGTTTAGGTAGAAAAGGCTCAAGTCAGACAATAATAATACTAAGACTACAGACTTGGCTGAGGCAATGATGCACATCTTTAATCCCAGCACTCAGGAGGGAGAAGCAAAGGAATCTCTGTGGAGTTTCAGGCCAACCTGGTCTATATAGCAAGTTCAAAGTAGGCCAGGGCTACACGAGACCTCATATCAAAACAAAAACACTGAGTAGAAAAAAAGAATGTGTTTCTTTGAAATTATTAGGATAATGATTCATTATTTTTATTTATTTTACTTTTTCTTTTCTATTTTGTCCTGTTTATTTTTATGAGACAAGACCTTACTATGTAGCCCAGGCTGCCCTCAAACTCACAATCCTCCTGCCTCAGCCTCTGTTACACCAGATTTCTATAGATTTATTTTTGATTACTGTTTCAGGAGGGACTAAAGGCCTGATCATGAATTTCTCAGGTCTCCAATGTTATCAGGTTCACTCTACAGAGAGGACACCATTGCACACCGGCTGAAGCTCGGAAAGCACTCAGAGAATTTAGTATTTCCTTTTTGAAATGAAACTGCTGTCCCTTAGCCTAGCGTTCCCTCCTCATTCTTTGTCTTTCCTGTTTAGTTGATACACAGCTAAATTTTGAGGTGCCTGCATCTGTATACATAAACCTCGTTTCCCCTTCCAGGATTCTATTTAGAGAATTTAAGTATGTCTGTACTCCCAGCTGGCCGGCACTTGCTATCTAGACCAGGCTGGCCTCTGTCTCACAGATCTGCCTGCCTCTGCCTCCAGAGTGCTGGGATGAAAGGTGAGAGCCACCATGTCTGGCTCGTCTTTGTTGTTTTGTTTTTCTTTTTCTTTTAATATTTTCCTATTTTTATTTAACGTATATGAGTTTATTGCTTGCATTGCATGTAGGTAGGTGCACCCGTGTCTGCAATGCCCGTGGTGGAAGTCAGAAGAGGGCATCGAATCCCCTGGACGTATCGTATATGAGTTTATTGCTTGCATGTAGGTAGGTGCACCCGTGTCTGCAATGCCCGTGGTGGAAGTCAGAAGAGGGCATCGAATCCCCTGGAGCCGGAGTTACAGACAGTTGTTAGCCACCATGTGTGTGCTGGGAATTGAACCCCAGTCCTTTGCAGGGGGTGCTCTTAACTGCTGAGCCATCTTTCCAGCCCTGTCTTGTTGTTTTTCAAGTTGAATGGTCAGCGACTAGTTTGTGACTTTCTCAAGTGTTATTTTTGATTCTCTGTTAGGATCTAAGGGGATGTTTTGACTGTTACAGGGCACACATTTTTTAGATTAATTATTTGACCATTTAAAGAAATATAAAGGGTCACCCCAACCCCAGAGTAATCTTGATGTGAGCACTGGAGCCCACCACCATCCTAGCTGTTCTCTGGAGAGAGAGTCCAGGGGCGTCCCTGAGGTAAGGCCATGGGAACCAGAACCCAAACAGAAGCCCCAGCTCGTATCCAGTTCTGCGCTGACGTCTCCAAACTTGACTTTTGTGTGTGCATGGTCAGTGTGGGAAGCTGTAGTAATCCCAAATGTTAAAAAATCCTGTCTGCCATTCAGATGAGACACAGGAGGGGCACTCAGTGTGATCTAAGGCTCTCTGCTGCCCAGCCCCCATTTGTTATTAAAGAAGTCACTCTGAACTACCTACCATCACTGCAGGAGTCTTTCAGGCTGGTCAGGTGTGCCTGAAACCGGAGGGTAGCCATGCCAGTCGGGGTGAACCCCGGTGCTTCAATTCAGTGAGATGATTTTTTTTAGTTATTAAAATTCTTTTTTCTTTGTTTTTAGTCGATCACAGAAAAAAATGCAGATGGTTTCAAATATCTCCTTTTTCGCCATGTTTGTTATGTACTTCCTGACTGCCATTTTTGGCTACTTGACATTCTACGGTAAGTGACTTCTGGTATCTGATGCACACCATCTGGAATTGAAAATAAAGAGTAAGACTTAGTACTTGAATGATTCCACATAGAACCCAAGAGTGAGGGGGAGGTTTCCGTACAGCAAATGGTGAAGTTTCCTTTTATACATGTTCATGAGGACTACATGATAGAATAATTAATTACTCAAACAATATACTATAAATTTTCTGCTGTTTTTCTTCTTCCTAAGAGGAAGCATGCCATTTTTACCTAGGAAAGTTTAAAACTACATCAGCGAAGGTTTTCCTAATTGACGTTGCAAATTGGGTCAGCTTCCATTAATAGAAAAGAGAGACAGAGACAGATGCTGAAAGTGAGCAGGGAAAGACGCTCAGGTTAATTAAAAATAAAGTGCCTAATTGTTCACCAGCACTTGGAGCCCTGCAGAGAAGGGAAAGGATCACAGAGAAGAAGTGAAAGGTGAGAAAAAAAAGAGGTTCCATTTGTGCTTGTTGCTGGTGGAACAGTTCACCCACCTTCTCTTCGAACGACCTAGCAACACTACCTAGACTCTTCCACGAACAGTGTAGTTTGAGAATTCATTCAAATATATTTAACCATGTTTTCTACTAAGTGTTCCTTTGGGGCTTCCCCCCCGCCCCTGCACAAAAATATCTAAATTTTAAATACATTTGCAGATTAATTCAGCTCAGAAATGCTGCTCTTATAAGGCACCTGTATTATCATTTTCATAAACAATAGAGAATAATATTATCTAATGAATCTATAACTAGCACCAAAAGGCTTCTTCATCATGGGTTGGAGTGGGTGAAGGGAGAGACAAGAAGTAATATTCAAGGCCTCGCTGTTACCATGCTCAAGCTATGAATTTTCTTTGTAAGTTCATTTTTTAAACCTATAATAGAATATCAGATCCTTTTATATGAGTAAATAAAAAGTCTCAGCTTTTTGATAGGTGGTTATGAATTTTGAGTCAAGAAAATTAGAGCTAATGAGATTTTTATTATCACCTCAAGCCCTTTTTTCAAAAACTGACACCTTGCTCTGTGGTACAGGTTACAGTTTGAATTCCTTGCCCAGATCCTCAAAACAGGTGTTGTGAAAAGCTGTGGAAGAGAGTTGTGAGGGAGTGATTGCTCGTGAAGAGAACGAGCCTTTTCCTGCTGCAGGCCTCCCTTCTGGCAGCCACAGCCTTTGAAATAACACTTTGTGTCGTTGCGAGTTGAGAAACATTCAAAGTAGTGCACAGACTAACTACTCTTTCCTAAGAAAAGTGGACATGACAGGGCAGAAGTCCATCCTGATGGCAGCTGGGTTGCTTTAACCTCTGCTGCTTGGCCACTGGAAGTTGAGTTGGAAGGAGAGATGCCCAGTTTCTGCAGGGAGTCTATTTGGTGTGAGCTCCTAATAGGAAAGGCAGGTGCCAGGGGGCTTTTCACCCTTATGTGTGGTTTAGTACATGCCGGGAATCTTCTAGAGATGACTTTATGTTCCGTTTGTGCGTATGTAGTGACCACTTCTCACATGACTGTTTCAATTTACTAATTGTCTTCATAGATGCTTCAAAACATTGCCTTCCTTGCTGTTCACAGATTCTTGGTTGTTGAGGAAAACTCATTTAGCAATGCACTTGGTCTCCTTTCAACCCCCCTGAATTTCCTCCCATTTCAGACAAAGTGCACTCAGACCTCCTCCATAAGTACCAGAGCAGAGATGACATTCTCATCCTGACTGTGCGGCTGGCCGTCATCCTGGCCGTCATCCTCACAGTCCCCGTGTTATTTTTCACGGTAAGTAAAAGGCCTCAGGGTGATCTGAAAAAAGCTGTGTTCTCGCCTCTCCTTCTCCCTTTAGGGACCTGCTCCAGAGAAAGCCTGCCCAGGTGACTTCCCTGCTCATGGACATGGGTCAGCCAAGTCTCTGTGCTCTTGGACAGCAACTGGGGATCCAGGAGTTAGTGTTGTCTCTGTGGACTGAATCTTCCTTCTGATCAGTCCACCCTCTTCTTTTTAGAGATGTAGATAGAGCGATAGCATCTCAGTCCTACCTTACTGTAGAGACCACTCAAATCTTATTTAGAACAGAGGCAGAAATTACCCCACCCAAAGGAAAATTTTTACTATTCCATACATGCGAAATACAGTTTGTCAAGCCCCTTTACCATCCAAACTGTTAAGCTGTCTCTCCTTTACCCAGGCACAAAACACCTCAAAAATTCCATAAAATCAGTTATTCTGCTGAGAAATGGGTTAGCCTGCTGTTTAGATCCTTCCCAAATCTTTGTTTTCTTTTCCGGCAGGTTCGGGCGTCTTTATTTGAACTGGCTAAGAAGACAAAGTTCAATTCACTGCGTCATGTCTTGGTCACCTTCATACTCTTGGTTATTATCAACTTGCTGGTGATCTTTATACCCTCTATGAAGGATATCTTTGGAGTCGTAGGTATGCTTTCATAATCATTTTACGGGGATGGCAGCATTTTATGGTTAAAATTTCTCAGTAACACCCAGTGGTTCTTTCCTTACTTTACAGGTGTTACATCTGCTAATATGCTCATTTTCATTCTTCCTTCATCGCTTTACTTAAAAATCACAAACCAGGATGGCGATAAAGGCACTCAAAGAATTTGGGTATGGCTGTTGTTTTTCTGATTAGTTTTCCATTTAAACTAAAGTAAAATGTGCATCTCTCTCCCCTCTAATCTGCATTCAGTTGCCTTGAATGTAGTGTCCATCCTGTCGTTTTCCCCTTAAGAGAGCCAAAGTTTCTAGTCAGAATCCTCTCCACTCCTCACAGCATCTTGTACAGTTTTGATGTCACCGAGTCTTGGTCTCTGTTCTGACCCAGGGCACGGCCAGATGGGAGAATGGATGTTTATGTTCCTCTCTCTGTAGGATAACGCCTTGTCTTTGGCAAGATATGAAATAAACAGAGACTCGAAGGTTTTGACGCAGTCTGCTATTTCTGTATGATTTCTTGTCAAATAACTATTTATAACCCAGGACAAGGGCAAGGCCTTAAGTAAAATGTCTTAGTTAGCCTAAAGAGTCTTTTTAAATGAATGACAGAAATGAAATGGTTTGGAGCAAGCAGACCTGGATTCAAAAACTACCTTTCTATATTGGGATTCTTGTTTCCAGATCTGATGAAGTTCGAGGGCATCTGAAGGTGGTACACTTGGAGACAGTGAGGGGCGCAGGGATGGAGTGGCTGCTACCTGAGTCCCTTCTGGAGCACCATTTTGCTTGGCCTCAGAGAAGGCTTCCCAGCTGCCCTCCCAGCTAGTGTAAGCACTGCAATCACATGTCACCTTAGTCTATAAACCCAGAGGAGAGCCCCAGGCAGAAGGGACTGGTCTCTGTGCACCATCGATGCTGGTAGAAATCTAGTTCCCCAAGAGAATTATTCCTGAAGCCACATGGAGTGAGTCCTTATAAGCATGAGGGAAGAAGCTGTTCCTGGGGCATGGCAGTGAGACCTACTCAGAGTGAAGCTACAGATGGCGGAGACCTATTACCCACACATTCTCCAGGCTTCTACATCCCTGCTCCCATAATAGAGCTGTGTCTCCCAAACAGCACTGGACAGGGGCCGCGTTTGGGTAGGGACTTCTGGGTGTTAGATTGGCCAGCCCCACTCTTTGCCAGCTCTCTTTCCCTCAGCTCTCTTCCTCCATTTCCATGCCACTCCTGGCTCTCCCAAGGCATCCTCCCTCCCATCAGTTCCCAGACCAAGCAATACATAAGTGCACATGTCCCAGGTCCTGGACTGAGAGATCCATCTGTGACCTTCATCAGACCTTCAAAGTACCTTAGTTTTGGACACCTGTTTCCAATATCCTACAGCAAGACGACATGCATTCCATTGATTCAAACAGAACTGTTGGCTTCCTAGTAATGACCTGGGTTGGTAGGCAAAGGCCAACAAAATGACCTGGATATATTTTCAAAAGCATTTTTTTTTTAAGTTGTGATCCTAATTAGAGAGAAGTCATAAGGCAACCTGGTCATTTGTAGAATTTTACATTTGATGGGACCCAGACAGAAGTCACAAAACTGAATGTGGGGCATAGTTCTGTTTTCCTTGTTTCCCATTCTTACAGCATCACACTGACCCAATTTCAGAAAAGTTAGCAATGGTTGTAAGGAACTCCATATGCAAAGGGACACAAAGGGTACAGATGTCTGTTTTTTTCCCCAGGTGCATGTGGAAAATGTTGATTGCATTGAAAATAACCCACACTTTTTGTTGCTCCAGGCGGCCCTTTTCTTGGGTCTGGGGGTGTTGTTCTCCTTGGTCAGCATCCCCCTGGTCATCTACGACTGGGCCTGCTCATCTGGCAGTGACGAAGGCCACTGAGACCAGCAAGAAAAGCGTCTGGTCACAGCTCATCCAGGCACCACTCATCAGCAACCCCTCATCCCCTCTTTTGCAAGATTACAGAAACAAACAGAGATGCACAAGATAACACTTTTGACCTGCTTCTAGAACAGCTCATGTTCCTCCAGGATTTTGGGTCAACTTAGTTGTTGTGAATTTTATCTTTTCCAAAGTTCATGCAGCTGTCTTTTCTGGCACTTTCAACAATCAATTCTTTTTCCCTCTCCTCACTGTGTTTTGTGGCTTCTCAGTCCTTTGGAACTTTGAAAACATGATCATCAGTCAAACTCATTGTACATTTAGATTCTGAAATAATTTTCCTACTGATGTTCAACTCATGCTATCTGTACTGTTTTAGAAGAGAAAATAATCTTGAATTGTATATATTTATTTTGCTTTACAGAAAAAAAGAGGTTTCGTAAATAATTTGCCTATTTTGGTTAACATAGCACATGGGGATAACCCTTTCAAAGACAGGTTGTGCTCCGTTGCTGGATCTTAGCAAGCCCAATATTTGGGGCAGATCTGATCATCAAAGGTGAGCCTGTTGGTACTGCACCTTGCCCCCACGAAGAGCCATTCCCTGTCAGTGTCCTCAGTTAGGAAGGGGTGGGCATAGCGCCTTGGCAGATGTATTAAACTACAACTTGGTTGATCCCACAATGAAGTTTTGTTTCCCTCTTGGCATCCTGTGTTAGTTACTCTAGGCTGAGTCACCTTCTACTGGGATCCATAGCTCCTGCATTGATGAGGCTGTCCAAAACACCTAAGAAAATACTGTTCTGATATAGCCTGCCTTCATCTCTACACATGAATTATCGAAAAGGGAAATGTTTTATTAGTTTATAAGCCCAGCAGCATTTGGTCAAGTCCAGCAGCTTTTTACAACAGAGAATAATGTGTATCTAAGGATGACCTGGGACAAGTCATTCCTGTTTTATATTGGGTACTTTACTTTAGAACAGTCTTTAAAAGACTTGTTTTATATCTATAAATCTAGTTATTAGAAAGACAAGATTTTTGTACCTTAAAGATGCCTCATTTCTATCCCCCCGTCCATTATTTTCCATCCAGTCTTGAAAATAAACCCTCCTAGAGCATCTCTGGAGAACCTCTTCTGGAGTCTCTGTGTACCTTCCTTCCCTTAATGGGGAAGACTGGAAGGTCCCCACTTGTGTCTCCTGCCCTTTCCCCACTACTGCGTCTTCCAGGTGACCCACACAGGACGGCAGAGCTGCCTACACTCTTCCCCAGTCCTTTTCTTAAGGGGAGCAGAGTGAACCTGCAAGGAGGCTGTAAACAAGAGCACTGTGGACAAGACAGTTGAAAAAGGACGGGGAGCCCAAGGGAACCCAGGGCAGCATCCTCCAACTGGACTGTCCGTGTCTCCCCCAGGTAAAAAATGTGCTTGCTCTGTGAGCCACTCTCCACAAATGGCTTGTATTTCAGCCTGATGTCTTCCGGTTGAATTTTCAGAAATACACAGAGCGCAGATTTCTTACTTGGAAATGAGAACCTGATCGCAGACACTTGGCAGAGATCCCAGGATCTTAGCTCTAGATTTTGTCCTTCCCCAATAGAAATCTCCAAAGGCCTTCACAAATCTCATGAGAGTCAAAGCTATCTCCCTACATGCTAAGTCTCATAGGTGAGCAGGCATCAAAGCGCCTGCTGCCGTCCTCTTGGGGGAGAGAGAAAAGTTATTTCCTGCCTTGTGTCATTGCACCTTGTCCTTCAGTGCTTCAGAGTTATATCCACATCCAGTCAGCGTTCACACAATTGAACACACAACCTAGACAGGAATATCTAACTTAGCAAAACCCATCTCTGCCCTTTTCCCAGAAGGGTTTCCCATGTTATGGAAAATGACAGAAACGAGATTCAGCCAATCTTTGGAGTTTCTTTCGAGCACCATTTAAAAATTACATTATTTAGTTTGTAAGCTACACTACCTTTTTCCTATTTTCCTCATGATTTTGTAGCAATTCGTTTTACATTCACAAAGTGAATTCAGAAAACTGTTATTAACTCTGGGATGTGTTGTGATTTGGGATCTGTGAATTTTATATGTTGGTACAACTAATGTATTATTTAAAGCATATTTATTTACAGGAAACACATTATTGTTGATATCTGTGATGTCACATTTTTAAGATCTCCTTTGTTTACCTGAATTTCTCTGAATGTAACAGGCCTTACCATCTTTGTCAAATGTCAGCAGTTAATTCCTCGGTTTCTGTGGTATTAGCTGTACAGTGTTCTACTCTTATTCTTGTTCAGAATAATGAACTGGTAGCCAAAACATAACCATATCACAGACGTTAGGTAGAATTCAAACAGCACAGTCAAGTGCAGTAAACATTTTTCTGCTAAATTAGTAGGCTAAAGAGTAACCCTTAGCCAGTCGAAGCAGTGCGTTCTCCCTTGGTCTATTGGATCTCCACACTGGTGAACCGGAACAGTTTACCTGAGACTTAGACCTGTTCTTTAGTTATTGTAACACAGAATGCTATAGATTCCTAACTTAGTGCTAGACGTAGCGGTACTGAACCATGCACAGGGGGAAGTCTACTCTTCTAAGCACAGGCGGTGCCCAGTTCATAGGGAGATCCTATTATGAAACTTTGCAGGATCATTATTTGGGTTATATCTGGAGGTTAGGCCCCCGAAACAGCTTGGAAAGATAACCGAACTCAAGAGTTGAGCTGAAACGGAATGGTGTAAGAGGACCACGAAAACATCCACAGCCCCAGATAGCCTGGAGGAAATGGAGGTGGGCACGTCCGAGTCACCCAAAACACATAACTGCTTGCTGTTGGTGGAATCTGGGTGGTCCGTCTCTACCACAGATAACCTACTGGAATTGGAGTCAGGCACCACCAGTTAAAGGTGACCACAGCATGCAGAAAAGAGATGAGGAAGTCCAGAAAGCCTATTGGTGGGATGGCAGTGGTGAGGACACACGGGCGTTCCTCAGCTGGTACCTCCTGTTTGGAAGTCTAGGCCTAGCTGCTTCCATGGAAGTGACCCTTAGTTCCTGGAGTTCACCTTCCCCTCTACTGGCTTCATGGCTTCTCCCAGATGCCACCTCTGAGGCCAGCACACAGCACTTTTAGTGGCTTCCATGCTTCTAATCAAGCCCAGTAATTAGATGAAAGGTACAAAAGGGCCTCCACCCACTTTCCCTTGCATTTATAGACCCTGCTAAGAAACAGAAAATCACTGACGGGTGTGGGTTGCAGAGGACAGGTGTCTGTGGTACATCAGAGAACACTCTGGTGTTCATCTCAAGAATTCTCCTGGAGCTGGACGCAAGCCTCCAACCCAGTGCTTTCTCTAAGTGCAGTCCCCAGAGCAGCAGCAGCAGCCACAGACTTGTCAGGAAGCCTCAGTGAGCACAGCAGTCTGCTCTCCAGAAGTTTTGGCTTGGTCTCCAGGGGATGCAAGTGTCATCAAGTTTGAGAAGTACTTTAAGCAGATGAGTGTGTGTTCTCATAAGTCCTGCCTCAAAAAGCAGTTTCTGGGGTGAGGAATGAGAACCAGGGCCCCTTAAAAGGGGAAGAAAGGGCCCCAGCTGGTATCAGGCAGGAGAGGGGCCACTCTGGTGCAGCCAGCAGCTGTACAACCCCCCCACCCTCCCACTCATTGGAATACCCTGCCAGGGCATGAGTGAAACTTGGGGTGCCTATAGTTTAGGGAGACTTTGGCTTAAGGCATGATAGTACTTTGGGGTTTTTTTAACAGCTGGGTTTTTTTTTAAGGTAAATTAAAAGAAAATGCCTTTTGTAACCTTAAGGGCAATGCTGAGTTCTTAGCAAAAGTCAGTTCTCCAGAGTACTGTGTCTGCTGTGGGGGCTCATGAGTGGCCATTTGGTGTTGAAGTGCTTGCCTAGCGTGTGCAAGGCCCTGAGTTCAGTCCTGGCACTGCAAAATAGTAATATAAATAAAATGAATTTTCTACCAAAAGGGTTATACTGCTGAAGGAAGCAGCAAAAGATCCTGAAAGGAGCCCAGTTTCGTTTCCTTGGGGCCATGTGGGGTGGCACCGCTGTTAGTTAGCGCAAAGCCTCCGTTCATCCATTTTAGAAGAGGCACAGGCTTTATGAAAAATATCACCCCATTCAAGTGAACTCCCAGCCACACTGAAAAAGAAGTTACAGACCTAGCAATACTGACCAGCAGCTTCCTTTAGGGATGGCTGATCTGAGCATCCTTCATCAACAGAACATGTGTGCTTCCTCCAAAATACAGTGGATTGTTGAAAGTGATAGAAGGCTTTGGGGTACAAATTGGGGGTGTAGCCAACAACTGAAAGTATCATTAAATCTTAAGGAGCAGAATCTGCACGGATGTATGATGTCAATGTCTAACTTCCTCGAGGTTTTCTCTGAGGAAGAGCCATGCACTGGGCCTGTCTGTACACAGGCTTGATTTGTGTTTTAAAAGGAAGAATCTATACAGCTGAGGTTCATTGTTTGTAAATATGTTGTAAATAAATAGGAGGCTGTATATTTTTGCAGTTGTTGAACCACACAGAAATAGAGGTCAGTAGTATCTACACATAAGAAATAACATGTTTGCATAGATGTTAGTGGTTTTGTTTGGGAATTAGAAAAATTTTACATTTTCTCCTATATCAATGTAACAGCTGGAGCCTAAAACCTTAATTGTTTAGAAAAAGAAATGACAGAAATAAGTGCATTGATTTCTTATGCTGGTATTATTATCAATTATTTAAATGATTCAATTAAAGACTATTGAGAAGCAAATCATTGTCACGTAGACGTGCCCAAGACAACAAATGGTTTCTGTATAAAGTTCTTTCAGAGTTAATATTGATGCTATTGCATAGTATTTATGAAAACAGAAGTTAGGGAGATTTTTTTTTCCAAAATGGAATTGTTGTTTCCCAAACTTTGGGATCTTTGATGGGGGAGCTGAGTATTAAGGTTAGCACAAATGTCAAGAGAGAAAAGAAACCCTATGATTTTTTTTTTAAAGTCTTGCATGTTTGCCTTTTATTTTAGCGTTGATGCTGACATAGCCATCCTGAACAGTTTTCCCTCTTCACCACTGGAACGTAATCCAGTCTTTAGAGTCCAGTGTGTCTTAGACTCCATCTGAGTCAGTACATGTAGCACACCACTGTTTTATTCATGTAAAGATCTTGTAAACGAATTTCAGGTGGGCATCCTAAGTGAGTCACAGGTCACAAAACTTTACTGTTCACAGTCACATGGAGTTGCTATTTTGCTTTGTTTTTTCAGGGTGTGGTATAAATAAAGAAATGTAAGAAGTTCTCTTCTATAAATGCTCTGTTAACATAGTTTTTAAACATTAAAATGTGAATCCAAAGTGCTTACAAGTCTTGTGTTGATTCTTTGTGAAGCTAAACCAGGGGCAACTGAGTACTGTCCACGTTTCAGAATGGCTGGAGAACACTTTGTACACATGATATGGTTCTAGATCATGGGAGTTTATCTTCAAGAACCCAAACACGGGAACTGGAGAGATGGCTCAGCAGTAAAGGGCACTGGCTGCTCTTGCAGAGGACCTGGGTTTTGATACCCAGCACTCACATAGCAGCTAACAACTGTCTGTAACTCCAGCTCTAGGGAGTCCCACACCTTTTCTGGCCTCTATGAGCATTGCGTAACAGGTGCACGTACATACACACAGGCAAAACACTCATACACATAAAATATATAAATAAAAATTTAAAATAGAACCCAAGCTTTAACTGGGCCTGGCAGTAGATGCCTGTAATCCCAGCACTCAGAAGACTGAGGCAAGAGGATAGAGAGTTCCAGGCCAGCCTGGGCTACACAGCAAGACCCTATCTGTAGAAAACAAAATCTAATAGGTATCTATGTAACCCGACACATACATTTCTCCATTCTTAATCAAAGTTGACCAGTCTTTCCTCTTTCTGACACAAGTTCATGTTTATGAGTATAAATTTCAACTTCTCTCCTGTAGGAACCCACAATGCAACCACTGTAAAAAGGGAAATCCTGTCAACACTTGAAACTTCTGTAGGAACCTCAGCTTTTGAGCTTTCCCACATCTTTAACACTTGCTTTTCCCGTGGCCTTAGGAAGGTTTTGTCAGAGAGGCAAGGGACGGCCAAGTTCAGATACACAAATTGCACTTGTGAACAGTTACTCCAAGGGTAGCCTAGGCCATCTTTGGTGCAACCGAGTGTGAGGCTGTTCATGATTCTCTCCAGACTGCTGGTAACAACTGTCTGCTTACCTGCTAGTCCCTATTATAATCTACTTAGTTCAGGCAGTCTGGAAAGAATGGATGAGGGTCAAATAACAGAACGATTTTTTTTTTTAAAGCTCTGGTTACTGTAAATTTTTGATGAATTCAAGTTAGATTACAATCTTCTCTGTTATACTCAATGAAACATCAAAATGACCTGCCAAATTGTTGGTACAGTTTAAAGTTATAGCATTAAAATCAGATTGCTAGGGCTTAAAAGTAAACACCATTACAGAGAACATGGGAATGACCCCAAAATACCAGAAAGGTAGTCTCTAAAACCAGTAGGAGAGGGATTGAAGAGAGAACACAGGTTCAGCTCCCAGTACCCAGAGGATGGCCAACAACTACCCCACAGCTCCAGTTCCAGGGGATCTGATGCCTTCTGGCCTCCGTGGGTATTGCACAAACATGGTACACTCACATACATGCAGGAAAAACACATGTACACATAAAATAAAATGGAAAATTAAAACCAATGGGAGAAATACTATTCAATAAGTGCTGGTGGGGGCTAGTTTTTGAGGAAAATAAATCTAGATCCATGCTATTCCTTATATCTAAAAGAACTCAAAATATATCGAAGACTTTAAAGAACACGTAGGAGAATATGTGCATTTTTACACATGTACAACGTGCATACTTGAGACACAACATAATCATGTCGTATTTAGTTAGTTCATTTTTTAATTTCATTTTGTTTTCAGAGAGAAATCTCACATTGTAGCCCAAGCTGGCCTAGAACTCACTATGGAGCCCAGGCTGACCTCAAACTCATGGCAGCCCTCTTGAGCCACCATGCCTGATTTTAATTCAGTATTTAATAACCAAGTAACAGTGTTTACACAGGGTTTATAATGTCAAGTGTGTCGCTCTAGAGAATGAGACAGGAGAATGAAGGCCAGCCCAGATGACACAGAGGGCTGGAGGCCATCCAGGGCTACATAGCGAGAACTTGACTCACTAAAAAAAAAAAAAAAAAAAGAAAGAAAAAAAAAAAAAATTTACCAGACTCTGCATTCAATCTCTCAGCTCTGAAGCCCAGGAGGGTGGTTCAAAGGAAAATTCAAGAATGGACATGGGGTAGTGGAGAGATGGCTCAACAGTTAAGAGCACTTGATGTTCTTGCAGAAGACCCCAGTTTGGTTCCCCACATCCAACATGGCAGTTAGTGACCTTTCCGTAACTCCAGTTCCAGGGGGCCTGACACCCTTTTCTGATCTCTGAGGGCACTGCATGCATACATTGCAGACAGCACACTCGGACACATAAAATAAAAATATCTGAGAAGAAAGAACAGGCATGGAAGCAATCTGCAGTGATAGGGATGCAACACTGCCCCGTCCAGTGGGAGACCAGCTGTATTAGTATCTCAACCAGAATTCATTTGTGTCTCTGGACAATAAAAAAAAAAAAATTCTGTTTCTATCAGTTTGCTAAATTTGCAAGACTGTGAAAGAGCTTAAAGACAAAAGTGGAAAACTTTAAAAGAAAAAAACTTTAAAATCTGTTCATAGAATATGTAGAACTGGATAGCCCAGAAGGGACACCTAATACTTCACTGAATATGTACCTAGTAATCTTTCTTGCTTCTTTCAAAGTCAATTTTTTTGACTCCCATTTTTATTGCCATTAAAGTCACAAAGATTTTTCTTGGGAATAGAAAGACTGTTTTCATTTAGGTCTGGCCATTGACTTTCACAGGTGTGGTTAGATGGTAGTTGACACACAGCCTTCTTTGGGCTGCCTTGCAGTCGATCTGTACAGCATCGAGTGGCTAGTGGGCACAGCATCCACCTTTAGAAGTTCACTATTGGCTAACTCTAAACCAGGAAGCAAACCTACAGCTGGCTGCATCTCACCAGTACTATCTATTGAGAGCAAATCCTTTATATTCGAGCTTCCCTACATTTGGTAAGCTGCCTGGCCAACAGGGAAGTGCACTTAGCCTGCACGAGATCAGCACCTTTGGAACTAGGGTGCGGGTTACAAGCCTGTAAGGTTGATCCAAGGCGAATTTTCCTGGGAGGGTTTTGTAACACTAGTTCCTTAACACTTTTTTGAGGGAGCTGTTGAATGACCTGCATTCTTCAGTATAGCCTTTCCAGACAGTCCAGGGTTACACAATCAACATTGTCCTAATTTACAGAAAAGATTTTTGTTGGACCTATGCAAGTGACTACACTGCTTTGAAAGGTAAAGGGATTTTGTCACACGTTTTAAACTCAAGGGTTGAGGAGAGTTCCGTGAAAATGGAATTTTAATTTGCAAAAGCAGATTCTATTCCATTGCTGGGGACTAAATAACTTCCTTATATAGCCATCAAGTGGAACATTAAAAGCCCATCTACAACCAGGGAAGATTTTCTCCTCAGGTCACCCTGACCTTTGCGATTCTGTTCTGCTGAATCTTGGGTTGGCACATTGCGTTCATAAAGCTGTCTGCGTCTGGATTAAAAACAGTCCTGGAAATTCACACTTGCTCCACAGGTAGAACCTGAAAGATGTCTAGGCAATGTCAGCTCAGAAGCCTGTGCCCAAGAGTCTATTCTTTGAAGTGTCAGTAGTTTAAGGTCCTTGGCGCAGGATCCTTGTCCATGAGACTCTGGGGCAGGCCTTGCTGAAAGCCCCAGAGTTGGCCTGTGGTTTGTAACAGAGCCTTAGGCAAGCTTCGGGGAGCAGAAGCCTGTTTGATAACAAGACTAGAGACCTAGATGGCGATGTGTTACAATAGCTCATGACCAACATTTTATCACCATCAGCCACCCTGTCATGGGTCTTCAAACGGGATGCTATCGTATGTCACTGAAAGGTCACCCAAAACTTCAATGCTCCTTGTGGTTTTTCTACCGCTATTGTGTGTCTCTATCTTATGTATACAACTTATTAGTTTAAAGAAGACCTTTCTTGGTACAAAACACAGAAGCTACAAAAAAAATTAATTGGCCCCATTTCAAAGAAGCAAAAAGAAGAAGGGAGAGGGGGACAGAGAAGGAGATGGAGAAGGAGAGGGAGAGGGAAAAGAAGAGGAGGAGAAGGAGGAAGAGGAGGAGGAGGAGGAGGATGAGGAGGAGGAGGAGGAGGAGGAGGAGAAGAGAGGGAGAAGAAGAAGAAACCACCCAAAACTCAAGATGAAAAGAGGACATAATGTTAGGCTGAGTCATGACTTTCTAAACTCACCCAAGACTCTCAGAGGAGCTACAATGTTTGACACTCTGTTTACTGTTGAATAAAGACAGTGTGGCCTTCTGTGTTACTTGTTAACTTAAACATTCTTTTCTTGGTAGAGATACAAGGAACTTCTGCCCAGTAAGAAAAAAAAAAAAAAAAACCTCAAAGCTTTTGTATCTAATTTATCACCTTAGTCTATCATTCCTTTAAACACGCCCAATAAGATAAGGACAAAATATTACTGAAACTACAGTAGAGAGAAAATCAAGGGAAATTCAGGGGAAAGGGAGGGGGGAAAAGGAAGAAAAAAAAAAAAAAAAAAAAAAAAAAAACTATGTCCAGTAGCACAGACCTGTGACCCCTGTACTTGGGAGGCAGAGAATCAGAAGTTCAGAGCATCCTTTGCTATGTAGTGATTTGGGGGGCCAGCCAAGAATAGAGACCCTTTCTCAAAAAACCAAATGTAAATAAGTTAAAACATCATGTAGGATGGGTGTGGTGATATATACCTTTAATTCCAGCACTCAAGAGGCAGAAGTAATTGGAGGCCAGCCTGGTCTACATAGTAAGTTTCAGGCCAGCCAGAACTACATAGTAAGACCCTGTCTCAAACAAACAAACGCAAAACAAAAAAAAAATAAACATCATGCGGTCCAGGCTAGCATGTCTGTGAATAGGCCATGCTCCTGAGCTTTCGACTTAAAAGGGAATGGTAGTACTGCCCCACTTTTGAAAGGGTGGCTCTTAATGGCTTAGAGGCAGTCTTCTCTGCCTGGGGAAAGAACTTTGAGGGTCAAATGATGTCCTATGTCCGGATCTGTTCCCTTAGCGGTTTTTGAAGGGTCCCATGCTATGATCAGTGTGCCTGGTGTTAGTATTTCCTGCTAACCCATGACTGGTATGGCTGATATTTAAGTGGTACAGCAAT